CCAGCAATAGGCACAAGCTAGGCTCCCAGTTACCACTAGTGCTGTTCCCAGAGATGATATGCACAGAGTAGTGGTCTTTAATTAAAGAGATGCAGACTACCCATAAACCTCCCCAAGAAGAGACTAAGAATAATAACAGATATTTTGACGGGTCATTGCAGGCTTAGAGGCCACTTATTTAATCTGGGGATCTGTCGACTTATGTCGCTTCTGTGACTCCGCCAAAGAGACACCAGTGCACCTTCTCCTGGAGTGTGAGGCCATTTCACGAAAAAGGGAGAGGTGCTTAGGAAATATATAGCTAAGTGAAGAACACTTACACTCCCTTCCTCTGGGATCCATTCTAAAGCTCATAGAGTCTCTGTGCTGGATTCAGTGTTGTGATGAGCTCGGGGCACAATAGAGCTACTGGTCGCAATGTTTACTCTGCTCATCTATCTATCTATCTGAATAAAAAACAAAAATAATGTTCACTGAAATTATAAACATAACTTATCCTTCCACAACTTGGGTCTATTTGTCTTGATTCTTTCATGGAGTGGGTTGGGAAAGCACGTGAAGATAGCAATGTTGAATTCATGGTTTGACCTTCGAGAAACCAGTGAAGTCATGCAATGCCATGAAATTTCACATCAATTCGTTGCTCTAACTATTGGTACATTCAACAAATGTTTGGCGCATGCGTACTTTATAGAGAAGTAATTCAAAATTTATGTTTTTGGAAATTTCAAAATACAATTAATAAGCTTGAAAAGGAGAATATGTTCATTATAACGGATAACTTAAATTTCCAAAAATGGCGAAGATATGTGTCTTTCCNTCCTGAATTCTTTAAACCCCTTTCTTTGACAGAAATGACACCAACGCCAGACATGCCGGGCCCTCCACCCGCTAAAATTGCGAAAAAATCCAACGCGAGCAAAACAAAGCAGCAGCAACAGGCGAACCAACAGAATCCGCAACAGCAGCAGCTACAAAGAGGTGTGAGTAGCGTATCCACACCTCCGCCATTATCAACCACACCAGGCACATTACAGCAGGATTCGTTTAATGCTTCAATGATTAGCAATAGCAGTTCCCAATCTTCAACTGCGTCAGCATCGGCATCACAGCATTCGCTGTCAACCAATGAATCTCAACAAAATTCCATGTACACTCAAAGTTTCAACGCCGAAAAGTTGGTCGGACATCAAGCACAGCAACAACAACAACAACCGCAACCAACATTGTCTCAGCCACAGCCTCAACATTGTAATCCAGCTGTTGCAGCAGCGGCTCATCACGCACAACAACAACAAATTCAGCAACTTCAACAGCAAAGACCAACGCCGCCACCAGCACAGCAGCAGCATCAACGTCGTACGCCTAATACACCCAGAAATACCACACCGGATGGTA